TTTTTTTTCGGGGGGACCTTAGGACATCCTAAATCCTAATGATTTTGTGCTAGTGGGTGGGGTGGGTAATTATTATCAATTCAGTCAGCACAATTTTCCTATCCATTGTCAAGGGAGGGACTTGTAAACCTTCAAAGGGATGAGCTCCCTGGGCTTCCCAAGAGCAGATGAGCTCTTTCCTCCACTTTTTCACTCTGAGCAATAAAGCTTCGTATCAGCTTGTAGCCTTTCTCCCCTCCTGCCACTGCTTTAATCATGTAGGTCCCAAAGAGAAGTGACCTTGTGGTTTTCAGTGAGAGTCCATAGGCCCACTCCAAGAAGAATCCCCCTGCTGGCTCTATGGCTACCAGCATAGTCCCTGAAGCTGGTTCCCTTCTCTACCATGCAACTGCTTCTGGCCTAGGTCCTTTCTCCCACAGGAGGAGCATGGTGGTGAATAGAGGAGAGAATGTCCTTAAATCTCTCTCCAAGAGATGTCTAAAACATCTCCTAATGTTTCTCCTAATTCCTTCTGCACACTATGACCCATTAAGCCTGTGCTAAAGTTAAGACAACATTGGGCTAATTTGCAATCTATTTGGGTGTGGGGGAGAGGACCATCATTAGACTGTAAGCTCCTTAAGGGCAGGGCCTGTCTTTTGCCTTTTTTGTAGTCCTGGTGCATAGTGTCTGACACATTTGTTGTTCTTTTTTTTCAGTCGTGTCCAACTCTACATGACTGTGTTTGGAGTTTTCTTGGCAAAGATACCAGAGTGATTTGCCATTCCCCTTTTTTTACAGATGAGGAAATTGAGGCAAACAAGGGTAAGTGACATGCCCAGGGTCCATAGCTAGTGTCTGAGGCCAGATTTAAACTGATGATGAGGAGTGTTCCTGACTCCAGGCCCAGCACTCTAGGCACTGTGCGAACTTCCTGCCTGCCTGGTATACAGTAGGCACTTAATAAAGGTTTCGATTTTGACTTATTAGAAAACAGCTCAAGTTTAGTCTGAAAGCTGGAAGAGTAGCAGAGAGGCCCTACTGGGCTAGGGGCTTGGGCCTGGGGTTCTTTGGTACCAGCTTCTTTGGGCCTCTACAATCCTTAACCTCATCTCCATTGTACCTATGATGCCCCTCAATACTAGGATCCCAAGTTCTGCTAGGTATTTACCCAGGGGCCTAGACTCAAGGGGAGTTATTTTAGAATTTCAAGTGGAGTGAGAGAGAACAGAGATGGTGAATCGTGGTGTGCTGGACACATGTCTAGTTCCAAGTGCCCAACCCTGGCACTTCTTGAAATTACTTTCTTTTACTTTGTAGATATTTTCAATATGAGTTCCTTAAGGACAGGAACTGCTTTACTTTTGCCTTTGGATGCCCACACACTGCCTTGCACATTGTAGGAACTCAATATGTGCCTACAGAATTATACTTACTTGTGTATATGCTGTGTTTCCTACTAGTAGGATGTCGGGTTTTTGAAGGTAAGGATTGTATTATTTTTATTTTTGTATCCCTAGGGCCTAAAATGGTGTCTAGTACCTAGTAGGTACCTAATAAATGCTCACCAAATTATTTACTTGTGTACATGCTGTACTCCCCATCAGTATATTGTAAGTTCTGTAAAGACAAGGACTATTCTGTGTTTGTATATCCAGTATCTATCATACAGCCATGTACACAGTAAGCTTTTAATGTTTGTTGATTAGAATTAAACTTTCAGTCTCCATAGATGGGGTGCTGATGCCAGTGCTCAGCAAGGCACTAAACCACTGCCAACCAACCCAATAGCCAGCATTTGTATTTCTCTCCTGGTTGTGCCAGCCCCCTTCTTCTGCTGAGAAGTTCCTCCCACGGCTTCCATTTTGGCCAACCTTCATTCCTTTCCCAACTGTGCTTCTGACTTTCTGAACTTCAACTCCACGCCTCAGCTGCAGTGTCAACCTGGTACCTTCCTCAGTGGCTCCTCACCTTGGAACTTCTAACTCTGTGGCCATCTCACTTTGGAATACCCCTCCTCCATGCCGGTCCCCTTTTCCCATTGGTGAGTTATTCCCAGGGCCTCCATTTTGGGGGAAGACCCAGATCAGTCAAGGGCAGCTAGGTGGTCCAGTGGATAGAGTGCTGAGTCCAGAATCAAGAAGACCTGAGTTCAAATCCAGCCTCAGACACTTACTAGCGATATGATCCTGGGTAAATCAATTAACCCTGTTTGCCTCAGTTCCTCATCTGTAAAATGAGCTGGAGGAGAACATAGCAAACCACTCCAGTATCTCTGCCAAGAAAACCCCAAATAGGGTCATAAAGAGCGAGAACCAGACTGAAACAACTGAACAACCACCACCGGGACGATCAATCTTCATACGCCTCCTAGCACCACTTCGGACATTCTAGACCTTGACATCATGGCCCAGTATGGGCACCTTCCTCCCCTCCCCCTTCCTTTTGTGTGCTGTCATTCCCCATCAGAATGTAAACTCCTTGAGGACAAGAACTATCTTTTTTTTTTTCTTCTTTTTGCTTCTATTTGTACCAGGGATTATTCAGTGCATGATACATAGTAATGACTTAACAGACTGGTGCCTATATAGATCTTTTTTTTTTTCATTTTTAGTCAATTGGGGTTAAGTGACTTGCCCAGTGACTTTACACAGCTAGTAAATGTCAAGTGTTTGGTCTGAGGTTGGAGTTGAATTCAGGTCCTCCTGACTTCAGGGCCAGTGCTCTATCCACTGTGCCACCTAGCTGCCCAGCCTATATAGATCTTTAAGGTTTACAAAGCATTTTATGCATGTTATTACTTTACAAATGTTATCTTTACATATATTATCTCAATAGCTATAGTAGCATAAGTGGCTGTCTTCATGGTTGAGATTTGAGAGGTCCATGGAATGGCCCCTGCACCCAAATTAACTTTACTTCATCCACAAACATAGGGTGTTTTCATGAATAGCCCTGTGATACAGAATGCTGTGGGAGATCTCCCTAGAGACACTCATTCAAAAGTCTGTGCCTTGTCTGCCTGATTCTTGAACTTTTTTCCCAAAGTATTTCCATACTTGCACAGCACTGAAGGGTCAGAGGTTACTTAGCCAACCAGGGGTCATATCTCCTTCTAAATACTTCAGTATTCAGTATCACAGGGCTGTCCCATAGGAAACTGTATCATGCTTGAGGTTGGAGTAGAGTTACAAAATAAATAGTGCTTGAAATTCATTCCCACATTTCCCACATATATGGATTAAGGCCTTAAGAAAGACCCTGCTAATATACACGATATTTGAAAAAGTTAACTCATTAACTTATTATTAGCCATAAAAGATGAAAGAGCCAGTTACCAAGCAGGACAGAGAAGGAATAATAGACAGGACTGAGAAATTTAGATGGAAAGAAGGGAAAGGAAAAGCCCAGTGCATAAAGAGAAATGAGGTGGAGTCTTGGCTGATCAAGGGTAGCATTTAGGCACTGGTTGGTGGAGGGCAGGGGATGTGGAGGGGGGAGGGGAGAGGTTCTATATGGAAGAGGAAAATATGGAAGGAGGTAGAAGACAAATTGACTCTGGCAGAAAAAACAGTGATAAAACAGTCATACCATCCTTTTCCTCTCACCTTTCATCAGTGGATAAATGGCCTTTAGAACTGATTGGTTACAATGACTAGACTGTTGAATGGAGGTTCGCTATTTACTGACCTCTTCATCTGACTGGAACCCCCATTACTGGGTTCATGCTTCACTATCCTTCCTACCTCTCCATGTTCCTTCTCTCTCCCAAAACCTCCCAACCCAGCCACAAATCCAAGAAAGAAACCACGGTTCAGTGTGAAAACACAGGATTGGGAGTTGGGACTCTGTAATCTTGGTCAAGTCACAAGGCTCAATTTCTTTGGCTATGAAATAGGAATAATTATCCATCCCTGTCCTGACTTGTAGAATTTTAATTAAAAAATTTTGTAGGGTTGTTGTATAGATGTTTAACAGAATAATAATTGTTAAGGATTGATTAAAGATCATAATGTAGTGAGATTGACGTGGCCTAGAGGGGCCATCCCATGAAGAGTGCTCAGAGTTGCCATTCCTGGTTCCAGTCCAGATCACACAGGAGTTTTGGGGACTGCTTCCAGCTATGTGTGACTCAGTACTAAAAGGTCTGTATTCTGAGATGATAAAGAACCCCAATATTGGCTGTAGTTCCATCAGACTGTGAGTTCCTTGGGATCAGAGACTGATCTTTAATTCTTCAGTGCTTAGCACAGTGCCTGGCCCACAGTAGGTACTTAATATTTATTGACTGACTGTGGAGCCAGAAGAGCTGATGGTTTAATGGATACATGAAAGGGAATGACTAACCCCCTCAACTTTTCTGGCTTTGAGTTGTGTCAGCACTTATTTGAACTGCTTCCCAAGAGAGCGTTGGGGAAAGGAGCAGCTTATCCCAATCCCAACCATGGCATCCATTGTGAACATCTGGTACCTAAGCACATGTCCTGCTCTGGCAAGCCTGAGGCTGGGTTTGGGCTGTTTTCTTTTATGTCTGCTCTTTCTTGATCTTAGGAAAATGGATATTTGTCTTAAAATGAGTATGTCTGGGTACAAATGCAACCTTATGGACAGATTTAGAAGTCTTGGGTCTTATCACATCAGAGCGGAATGGCAGTCCCTAGCAACTACTTCATCACTTTTAGATGGTTACCAACAAGAGGACTGGCCCAAGTTTGGCCATTTTACCAGCAGGTATGTACTAAAAGAATTCTGAACAGTGAAGAGATGAGATGCCTAATCAATAGTCCTGCAACTTGTCTTATGTTTGATGAAGATTAACTATCAACCTCCTAACAGATTGTAATCATAGTTATAAATTATTAAATCTTGTTTTGTTTTTGTCAAGTATGTGCATGTTAGTGTCCTATGCCTAAAATTCTGTAGAAATAAATTACATACCCTATACTTGATTCACATCGTACACTGGTATCGTTTTATTCTTTCTGGGGAAACTCCATGTGTGAACTCTAATCTAAGCTGTACATAAACTTGTCCCTTGAGCACCAGAGTTGAGGTTGAATAAGATGAAGCATGTGAGAAGAGAGCCTTGTCACTCCTCTCATCAGAGGCCAGGCTCCCAAGATTGAACCATGTGTCTGGGTAGGAAAAGGAAGTGGGTGCAGAATCCTAGCCCCTATGGAATCCAGCCATGGTTCATCTATGTGAGTCTCACTGGAAACACTCCTCTTATAAGATGATCATAGATTTTAAGTTGAAGGGACCTAAGAAGTCATCTAGTCCAACCTCATCATTTCCATAGAGAGGTGAAGTGACCAGTTCAAAGTTAATTCAGGTAGTATTTGGCAGGGTTGTTTCTGTGTCTCCAAGGTCAGACCTCTTTCTACTGTACCATCCTGTCTCCCATTCTTCTTCTTCAAGATGACTTGCTCTTTGTCTTTTCCACTTGGTTAGGGTCATGGAGGGACTTGAGAGAGCAGTACCTTCCTAAGGTGGACTGGAAGCAAGCATTCCTCTGGGTACTGCACCCTCTGACCAGTGTCCTTACTTGACCCATCAATGCCCATAATGAGACCACCTTTTCTTCGGCTGGGGGGTTGGGAGGGGAATGACCTCAAGGCACAATGATAGAGGGGCTCTGATAATTGCCAGGTCTAGGCAAGTGATTGAGCAGAGCTAAGCACAGTGACAATGGTGGGCCCTGAAGGGAGGGTGGAAGCCAACCTCTTGTAAGGCTTCCTTTTTTTCTCTTCCTTCTCCCCTCCCCCCAGTTGTCTGGGGAAGAAGGGGGAATTCTTCTGTACATGAGTGTGGAAAGCAAGCCCCACCCTCAGTGTGTGGTCCCAAGATACTTTCTCTTCATCCAAAGTGAAAAAAAAAGATACATTTTATTCTGAGTAGAAGTTTCCAAAAATATTCATCTGTGGTAGGAGCAAGGGGAGGAGAGACCAGGAATCCAGGAGTCACTGGCTTCCAAGGCAGTTTAGACAGGAAACTAAACTTGGGAAGAAGGAATAGGTTCTTGGCTAGAAGAAAGGAAAGGCTGTTGAGGGCAGGGTCAGGATGAGCCCTAATCCCCTGAGGACACTAAGAGAACTGAGCCTTGGAAGGTGGTTGGCAGCAGTTTGCTGGATGGTAGGCCACAAAGAGGTTGGATGAAAGGAGAAAACATGTGTAAAATGCTTTGAAAACCTTAAAGAGCTGGGACAGTGTAAAAAGTACTAGACTGGGAGTCAGAAGACCTGAGTTCAAATTCTAACCCTGATGATTACTGCCTATATGATTTTGGGCAAGTCACTGACACTTCCTGGGCCTGAGTTTCCTCATCTGTAAAATAAGGGGATTGGACCAGAAGGCCTTTAAGTTCCCTTCTAGCTCTGCATTGAGGAGCCTATGATTATTATTATTTGCCAACTCTTGCCATAAAATTAGGGCTGGACTGGGTCTAGCTCTCTTGAGGGTCATTCACCACTCCCGTCTTTACCCTGGAGAGAAAAGTATTGGGGTGGGCAAAAGTGTCAGTATATGAGAAGATGCTCTACCTATGGGAAGATGATCAATGGGAGAGATGCAGGGTTGATTTTCCCCAACAGCAGTCTGAGAATTTCAGGTGGACCCATGCCTCACAAGCCTTAAAAAATCCACTTTATTTTAGAGCAACTGTTGATTCCCCAGCATTTTTACAGCAAGCTAGAATACTGAAGGATGGAAGGGCAAGAGATGGCCCCAGAGGGATCATTGATTTAGAAGGGGAGGGATCTTAATAGCCATTTAATTCAACCTCCTTATTTTACAGATGAGAAAATTAAGGCCCAAAGAGTCCAAGTGACTTGTCTAAGGCAGGGCAATATGTGGCAGGGCTGAGATTTGAATCCAGGTTCTCTGATTTCAAATCCATCCAACTTTCTTAGGCAATGGAATCCATTACCAGCTTGATCTCTCTTAGGGGATGGGCTGTGAGTGGAGGACTCCTGATGGAAGAGGGGGGGCTACATCAGTGGAAGAGGGAGTGGAAGGGGCTCACATGCTGGTTCCCTCTTCTGGTGAAATGGGATTGAAGCCGTTGATAGGTAAAGAAGCAGAGCTGGGCTTGGCGGCAAACGGGCCACTGCTGGTAGCTGGTCTGCAAACAGGCCTGTTTTTGGTGCTGGACATATTTGCAGCTGAGGATGGGGAGTGCTGGAGAGTTCCCGAAGTCAGCATAGGCTGCGAAGTGAACTGCTGCAGGACGTGGGCTGTCATGCTGGTTCTGGGGCGTGAGGCTGTAATGGAACAGAAGATTTCCCCAGCCCCAGCCCCAGCCCCAAGCCCCAAGCCCCTTGCCTTTCTCCAAAGCATTTCCACATACATTTGCTCAGCTGATCATCACAATATCCCTGTGAGGCCAGTGGAACATATTATTATCTCCTTTTAATCAAGGAAGACCCTGAGGGCCAGAAAGAATGGTTAGCTTGTCTGAGGAAACCTGATTAGCTGGAGTCATGCAGAGGGTTTGACGCCACTGGCCTAGATCATTGAAAGCTTAAGGATTTGCTAGATCTCCTGATCTTTGGGCTGAAGCTCTTCCTGCTACCTCACGTGCCTTCCCCTGGGTCTCTGGGAAGCAGTCAGGAGTGGAAAAGTAAGGGCAACCTTGTACTGTGGCTAGAATTTGTCCTGTCCAAGTTTTGTTTGTTTTTGAGGCAATTAGGGTTAAGTAATTTTGCTCAGGGTCACACAGCTAGTAAGTGTCTGACTCCAGGGCCAGTGCTCTATCCACTGTACCACCCAGCTACCCCCTGCCCCACCCAGCTACCCCCTGCCCAAGTTTTCAAGGAGGATCTCATCCAGCCTGACATTACAGGAAGATGGTACCAAGTTCAGGGGAGAGGTTGAGGGTTTCTGGACTTTTTAATGTTAAATGAACCACAGGTAAATTGGTAATAATAATAATAAATAACAATAAATAATAATAAATAATAATGAAGTGCTTATATATAGCACTTTAAAGTTTACAAGGCACTCTACATACAGTATCTCATATGACTCTCACAGTGACCTTTTTAAGGTAGATCCTATTATTTATCCTCATTTTACAGATCAGAAAACTGAGGCTGAGAAGTAGTTAAGTGATTTACTTAGGATTACGCAGCTACAAAGTGTTGGAGATAGAATTCAAACCAGGACTTCTGAATTCCAAGTCCAGAGATCCACATACTACACCACCTAGCTGCATATAGGATAGGGAGATAGGGAGAGGACCTGTGATTTCCCTGGTATAGGAAACTTCCTGTTCAGGAAACTCTCTCTACCAATGCAGGTCAGAATCTTCTTTGGCAACATAAAGTAGTAGGGAGTTGCCTAGAACGGAAGTATCAAACACACATCCTTCCAGGCAAGGCCAAGGGGCCCATCCAGATTAAAATACAATCAGGAAATATTTAACAAAATAAACAAAAGTACAGTAGAATGTAGGCAATGTTAATATGTGGTTTTCTAAGTCAAAATGCCTCCCGCAAGGATCCTTATATATGGTGTTGTGGCCTCAGTTTCTATTTGAGTTTGACATCACTGGCTTAGATCATTGAAAGGTTGTGATTTGCTTGGGGTTAGGAGGTCAGTGTGTATATCCCAGGTGGGACATGAAGCCCAGTTTCCTTGACTCTTAAGTCAACTCTCTATTATATTATACACTATTACTTGATGTTGTTCAGTGTTTCAGGCATGTCCGAGACTTTATGACCCCGTTTGGGGTTTTCTTGGCAGAGATCCTGGACTGGTTTACCATTTCCATCTTTACCTCATTTTACAGATGAGAAAACTGAGGCAAGCAGGGTTAAGTGACTTGCCCAGGGTCACACAGCTAATACATGTCTGAGGCCAGATTTGAACTCGAGAAGATGAGTCTTTCTGATTCCAGGATGGGTACTCTATCTACTTTGCCACGTTGCTGCCCTACCACCTCTCATTACACATAAGAAAATAAATTCAGTATCACTTTCCACTGTGGATAATATGCCTTTCAAGCACTTTGGCCCCTGCCCCTAGGCTGCTTGTGCCCCTCTTCCAGACTCTTCTCTCTTAGGTTTACACACAGATGAAGGGGAGAATCATAGCACCTTTGGGTACTAATGGGACAGGTGAGATTGTTTAGAATGACCAGAATAAGAACGGGAATGGCCCTTTTTTAGGGGAGATTGAGGCAGGTAACCTGGGAGATTCGCTTATCGTATTCTTCAGCACCCCAAGACTGTCCTAGAATTATGTCCCTGTAAGGAGACTAGATTCAGGGAGACATTCGCTGCCCCTTCCAATGTGTGATAGAAAATCTTTGGATCTCCTCTTTGGAGAGGAGGTTGGGCAAAGCCTTCTTTGGTAGGAAGAGAACAGGAGAGGCCAGAAATTCAAAGGAAGTCCTCTGGACAAGAGGTGTAGTGAGGAATTGATTTGGAACTAGGAAGAACTGAGGTTCAAACAGAGATTGAAGACAGGGACTGGAGCCCCAGGAGGGAGGGATCAGGTGAAGACTCACCAGGGTACATGGCACCAGAGACACTGGAACGTATATGCTCACATGCACTGCGGGATGATGGGGCCCTTGGGCTCTTTAATCCTAAGGAGAGTGAAGTAAAGGAAGGGGTGAGCAAATGAGAGTTTGTTGAGGTTTCTTCCAGATTTCTTGTGTTTGTGAAGCCCCCCGCCCCCAGATCCCCTCTCCCACCCTCAGGGCTGTGGCCTATGCCAGTATTTGACAAAGCCATGGCTGTACTGTCCTAGACTTTTGCCTGCTCTGTCTCCTGTCAGAGCTCTGAGAAGGCGGGGTACAACCATGCCTCCTGTTCCTCCCCCATTTGTTCTTGTTTTGAGTCAAAAGGGTGTCCTCTACAAGTCATATTTATTCCCCACTCCCCATCTTTGCTCACTCCATTCTATCTACCCTGCAATATCCTCCCCACTGCTCTCAGTTTATCCAGATCCAATCATCCTCTTCCCCACAGCCTACAGGGATGTGTCCTCTTTTCCAGAGTTCTTTGGCACTTGCTGTCTCTATCACTGATTTGACTGACCACAGAAACATAGCTTTAGAGCTAGAAGGGAGGTTATCTAGTCTAACTGCCCTCATTTTCCAGAGGGGGAAACATACCCAGAGGGGTTAAATAACTTGCCCAAGATCACACAGGTAGTGACAAAGGTGAGACTTAAACCTATATCCTCTGTCTCCAAATCCAGTACACTTTACACTACCATGATGCCTCCATCATATATCACTTCCTTGTTCTGCCACTTAATTATGCCATGTATATTTGGTCTTTTCTTCCCAACTAAATGGTAAACTTCTGGAGGGCAAAGAAGCTTATGCTTCTTTGTCGCCTCTACATTACCTAGTACCAGGCTGAGGACCAAGTGGGGTCTTCAATGACTAAAGGAATCAAACAATGAATTTGGGTTCTGGTTTGAGTTGGGGGTGTTGGTGATTGCCAACTCTCCAACTGAGATGGAGCTAGCCATGGGCCATCACTAAATGGGACAAACCTTAGCTGCCACCATAGTGACAAAACTTGAAAATCAACAGATTTTCTGAAATCTAATTTCTAATTCTGAAAGGTGTTGGCACCCCAGTATTGTATTCAAGGTGGCTGCTTCACCCTAAAAATGATATCTGATATTTATACAATGCTTTAAGGTCTTCAAAGCACTTTACATCTCATTTGACCATCACAGTCACTCCATTTCATAAGTGAGAAAACAAAGGCTGAGAGAAATTAGGGTCAAACAGATAGAAATGGCAGATATGGGGCTTTGAACCAAGATCTCTCCTGAGTCTGAGCCCCATGCTCTCTCTACTATGGCATGCTATCTCTTTATTTTAAATATTTTTATTGGTATCTTCTATATTTATATCATCTTCATTTCTGAATATGTGCCTTCCCCCTCCCACCCCAGCAAGTCATCCCTTCTAATAAAGAATAATAAGAAAAATCAATTCAGCACAACAAACCTACGCATCAATTGAATCTGATAGTCTATGCAATGTTTTACACCCATAGCCCTCCACCTCTGCTCTGTGGGGCCAAGTTTGGTTGAAATCATACCAATGTCGCTTCTTTGATAATGCCACTGATCAGGGGACTCTAGATGGAAGGACCCATGCCAGGTTATTTCCTTATTCCAGATACCAGAGCTAACCAGGTTGTTTGGGGTCAGAAGCCCCAGAAGTACATGAAGGAAAAGGAAGGTGAGGTTCTCAGGGGGTGGTATATCTGAACCCTAAGTCCCCATTCAAACCTGTCACAAGTCATACCTGCCAGGTCCTTCTCAGTAATAACAGAATGTGGAGCACCACGAGAGGCCATCCTGCCTTTGTACATGACCCCATCCACTCCCAGAATGTTCACTTCACTCTGGGGAAACAGAGACAGCCCAACCCCAGCCCCTGGGTTATGACTCAATCCCTTTAGGGGAAGAGGGGAAGGGGATGATTCCCTTGCTATATTCCTTTTGCTTTAAAAGCCTGCTCAATTTTCCCTTTCCCAGAGGCATATTACTCCCAATTTCAACTTATTTTGTCCTCCCCTACAACCCAAAATCCCAGTTCTTTCACAGGCTCTGGAGTGGAGCCTTCTCCCCATCTCCCCACTAAGGCCTGGGATGGGTCTAAGCACAGGAGGAGAGAGTCCAAGCCACTACCCTGCCCCATCCTTACCCCAGGATCCCAAACAGAAACCCCCCACCTGGAACTTGATGAACCAGAAGCAGGCCACACTCACATTCTCAGGAAACACGGATGGATCCCCATATGGATAAAGGGTGGTGAGGTTCGGTATCTTCATGATTCGCCTCAGGCTAGAACTGTTATCCCAATACGACTGACCATCTCTGGGCATGTTGGCTTGTTCCTGTGTAGGTTGCGGGTGTTGTGTTCGTTGCTGTTCTCTGGGAAAAGATGGCTAACATGAGGAGGGGACCGACCTTCCCAGCTCAGACTGAGCTTCAAGAGGTCACATTGCATCCTGACGCATCAGGCAGCCTGGCATGGGAAGGGCTGGTAGAGCCATGGAGAGCAGTACCACCAGGCTGGTGGCTCAGGATGTGTAAGAAATTCTTAGACTGGGCCTATGAAAGCCTCCGAGAGAGCAATAATCTGACTAAAACTGGACAGGTAGGCTCTTCTTCAGGCTGCAGCTCTCTCTTGGTCTTTGGCAACACCTTCAACAGGGTTACTGTAGGGAAGGATGCCTTTTGGTGGTGATGGTGATGGAGGTGGGGGAGGTATCGTTGGAGTGCCTCTCATATTCCTGGTTTGGACTCTCTGTGCTTTTTCTTATCCACCATGGCATGTTAGAAAAAGCACTGCACTTGTAATCAGAAGACATGGGTCTGAATTCTGGTTCTGATACTTACTAGCTGTGTGACCATGGACAAGTCACTTAAACTCACTTAAACTGTAAAATAGAGACAATAATACTTGCACTACCTGCCTGAAAGAGTAGTTGTGAGCAAAGTCTTTTTGCCAACTGTAAAGAGCTATATAAATGTGAGCGATTATATCATCATCAATGTCATATTATCATATAGAGATTGGTGGGAGGAGGGAAGCTGGGGACCTACAAGGTGGGAAAGGAGGAAGGGAAAGTAGAGAGTGGTAAGGGATAACAGTGGTTCAGGTAGTTGTAGTATCTTCTCTAGCTGGGAACCAGGAATGGATCAGTGAGCTCAGTTGGGTAAGTAAAGTGCTGCTGAGGTTGGAGTTTCAGTCTTCAGTTAGTGTCATACAGTGGAGGAAAACCAGATGTTCTGTGGTTACAAGCTATACCCTCATGACTGATTGACTGTTTCACAAAGCTGTCTCACACATGAATATGCTTGGTCACAATGGGGACCAAACCTGAGGGTAGAGATGACTCAGTTCAAACCACAAGTCCACTGCTGTTCAATTCAATTTTAAAAGGATGAATTAGGTCCCTACTGTATGCAGAGTGCTATGCTAGACACTTGGGAAGAGACATAATTTAGTTAAGACATGGTCTCTGTCCTCATGGAGCTTGAAGTCTACTAGGTGTATGAGAAACATATAACAGATATCTAGAATACACAATAATATATGCCAGATATATTAGATTGAAACAAAGCACTATATGTTGCTGAACAAGTTATGGTAAATGTATGTGATGGAATAATGCTGTGCTATAAGAAATGATGAAGGGGAGGGTTTCAGTGGGGAGACTTGTATGAACTGATGCAGACTGAAATGAACAGAACCAGGAGAACAATTTATACAGTAATGACAAAACAGTAAATACAAATAGCTATGAAAGACTTAGGAACTTTGATCCATGCAATGGCCAGTTATGATTTCAGAGGACCCAGGAAGAAATAAGCTACCCACTTCCCAATAGAGAGGGAATGGACTCAGAGCAGAGATTAAAACATATATTATATATGTAAATGTATATGTACATATATGCACACACACACACATATACACAAACATATAAAGAAGACGAACAATTTGGAAATTTGTTTTGCATCACTATACGCTTTTATAACAAGAGTTTGTTTTTAAATCTCTTAAACTCTCCCATCTTGTTTTCACAACTGTCAACTGTGTAGGGAGTTAATACTTGAAAAATCTATTTCACAGGGTTGTCGTGAGTTAAAGTAGGTAAGATATTTATGTAAATGAAAACATAAAATACTAAATAAATGTCAGCAGCTGTAAATAGAAAGAAAAAAAGAGTTTGCTTTTTTTCTTTCTTTCTCTGTCAATAGTGGGGGGGGACAGAATGGAGAGAAGTAGCTTATCAGTGACTGAAAGAAATAATACTTAATTTAAAAAAAGAGTTGGGGGAGAAAGAACTCTATAAGAAATGAGGAGGTCAGATAAGGCTTCCCAGAGAGAGAAGGTAGATAGATTTTCAGTGATCAAAAGAAATAAGATTTAATTAAAAAAAAAAGGTGGGGAAGCACTATACAAGAATTAAGGAAGTCAGGGAAGGCTTCCTAAAGAAGAGAGCATTTGCGTTATGCTTTCAAAGTTGGGTTGGAATTCAACAAGCAGACATTCCAGGTATTTGGAACAGAATGAACAAAAGCAGGGAGGAGAGACAGTGAAGAATATAAGTGTACACACACACACACACACACACACACATACCGTATTTTACTGCATAATCGTCGCCACTGCATAATCGTCGCACCCTGTTTTTTCAGTCCAAAAATTGGTTTATAACCTTTCATTGGATAATTGTTGCATGGTATAATTCTGTTCGTCACACCGCTAAAAGATAAGCAGAGGAGCAATGTATTCACCAGTGACATATGGATATGCATTTATCTCTTGCACATTGTGAGCCGCTAGCCTAGAATTCTCAGCACATGCACATTGTCAGTATTCAATTTTCATGTATGTATTCACAAGTATTCCATGCATCCCAATTTTGCACCAAAGACAGGTTAGTGATAAATGATTTTTAAGTAATACTGGCACAAATGTTTAAAGCTTCACATAATGGTGTCATCCCCTTTTAAATAAATCTGTGAAAATTATGTGGTAAAATGCGTATATTGTTGTTTTCTTTGTTTTTTAGGGAGGCAATCAGGGTTAAGTGACTTGCCCAGGGTCACACAGCTAGTAAATGTCTGAGGCCAGATTTGAACTCAGGTGCTCCTGACTCTAGGGCCAGTGCTCTATACACTACAACACCTAGTTGTCCCTCAGGCAGAATATATTTATGAGACAGACAGGAGCTCTTGGTTTACTCAGGACAGTGTGTGAGAAGCAGTAAAATGAAAAGAACACTGCAAAGGTAGGATTCTGCCAGATTGTAGAGAGCCCAGAATATCAGGCAAAAGAGACCAAAATTTGCTTTGTAGACAATAGGAAACCAGTGTTATTTTTTGAGCAGAGAAGAAAAAGAAAAAGAGTGCACCAGAGTGGAAGGAATAGTGGGGTATGAAGTCAGAGATTCTAAGACTGAGTCATGGCTCTGCCATTTACTATCTGTGTGATCTTGGGCAGGTAACTCAACATCTCTCGGCCACATTTCCTCATCTGTCAAATGAAGTTCCTCTCCATCGTTAAATCTACAATTCTGAGAGTCTGAGCTAGGATGGTGTAGAAATAAAGTAGAAATAAAGAAAAGGGGACATTTATAAGTGATATGGTAGAGGTGGTTTTGTAAAGGATATGAGAGATGAGCGACAAAGAAGCATCAAAGAGAATTCCAGAGCTCAGAACATGAGACTGATGTAACTGGCAGAAATGGTGAAGCCATAAAGGGGCAGAAAGTTTAGGAGGAAAAACAGTCATAAGCTCAGTTTTGGAAAAATTCGAAATCCAAATAGAACTGTGCTGAGGCTGTTGGTGGTGTGAGTATGGAGCTCAGGAAAGGGCTGAAAATAGAGATTTGAGGCCTTCTGTGTAAACGAGATGCCCAAGGAAGAAAGTGTTAAGAGGGAGGAAAGTCAAGGGCAGAATCTTGGGAAACACTCACCTTAAAAGGGAAAGGATGAGGAGCCGGTAAATGACAGCATGACAGAGTAAAAAAGACATTGGAATTAGCACAAGGGGCCCTGGGTTCAAATTCCAACTTTGCCATTTACAACCTGTGCAACCTTAGGCAAGTCAATGGACTTTTTTGGGCCTCAGTTTCCTCATCTATAAAATGAAGGAGTTGAAAAAGATGATCTCTAATGTCCCTCCTAGTTCTAAACTTAAGATCCTAAGGAGACAGAAGTGTGTTTAGAAGGGTCAGGGGAGATCAGCAAAGGGGTGATACAAGACATACATGTTTAGACCCAGCCAATGTGTAAATTTGTTTTACTTGGCTATACTGTTATCAGGGAGGGCTTCTATTTGTGGGGGAAGAATAAGAGGAAAATTTTGAGGGGAATAGTGTTTGTAACACAAAAAAGGAATGAAGAGTGTCAATTTTTTTTTTAAATACACAGAGAAGAGCAGAAGGTCAGACAAGTAGGATAGCATTGGTATTACTGTGTTAAATTTAATACTCTAAAAAGCCAAGCTGTACATAATAAAGATTCATGGTTGCCTATCTCTTTTTTTATTATTCTTTGTATATGGTAATGTTCATACTTGTTAAGTTTATAATAACAATTAAAAAAGAAGTAGGAGGAAGAATAGGAAAGTGAAGTGTTTCTGAAGTTAAGGAGGAGAGAGTATCCTGTAGGAGGGAGGTGACTGACAATGTTAAATGCTGCAAAGAGGTCAAGGAGGATGAAGACTAAACAGAAATTTGGTGATTGGGTGGCTAATGTTGACCTTCCAGAGTGCAGCTTCATTAGAGTGGTGGAGGTGGAAACCAGATTGCGTGGGGTTTGGCATGTTCAAACAAGTCAAAGTACGTTTCCTTCTGAGACAGAAAGTACAGTGTTATTGTTATCAAACTATGTTCCAGCAGGGTCAGACTGTCTCCACCCAACTGGTGAAAAATTCCAATGGTGCCAGGCCACTGGATGAGACTTTGGGTTCTTAGTGATTTGTGTCTCTTGCAATACAACTGGAGTTGGAGGCAGAAGTCAGTGTTCAGCCCCCACTGTTCACTTATTCACTCATACCTTTTCCCCCTTCCCCCTCTCCCCAGTCTTTCCCCTTACTAGAAAAACATAGGCTTCTGCATAATTTGAGGGGCACATACCTTTGTGGGGATAGGTCAACCTGAGTCCCAGTGGCTGACTGTGACTGCATAGGGATGGAGTTCCCCATAAATTCTGTAGAGGGTAATTAGGTATACAGAATTCTTCTGGGGGTGACTCATTAGAAGGGAAGAGCCCTAGGACGAAACAAGTCCTTTCTATGTCCCAGAGCTCTGGGGAAATTTGGGGTGTGGTTTCCCACACCCCATTACCACTCACCTTAATTTCAGCCGTTGTAGATATTCATAGCTGTTTGCGCTGACTGGCCTGGCATAGGGGTACAAGTTTTCTTTCTGGATACTAATCAACTGTCTATTAAAGAGGAATACAGAGAAATAAATGGGAATTCCCAGCAAAATATCATTACCTATATTATTAAGGGAGAGAGATGGGGAGGGGGAGAATACATTTGGAAGCCCATCTTCTCAATGAAGATTTCATAGATTAGAAGGGAGGAGGTAATAAATATAATCAGATCTGACTAGATTTTTATGCTTCTCTCCAACTTGACATGTCCATTAGATGAGTAACCAAAAGTCTTATTGATAGCTTTACCTGGACAAGCTTACTCTGTGCTATGAGTAGGTGCAGCTTAGGTGGTGCAGTGGATAGAGCATTGGCCTTGGAATCTGGAAGACTCATCTTCATGAGTTCAAATCTGGCCTCAGACACTTAATAGCTGTGTGACCCTGACTCTAGGCAAATCACTCAATCGTATTTGTCCCAGTTTCCTCATCTGTAAAATGTGCTGGAGAAGGAAATGGCATTCCTAGTATCTCTGCCAAGAAAACCCCAAATGTAGTCACAAAGGGTCTGACATGATGGAAAAATGACTGAATGCCACCACCAAAAAAATGAGGACAGGGAGCCTGTATTTTTTTCTGTCTTTTATACTAACCCTAACACTAAAAATCACTCAGTAGGCATGACCTTGAATGGTTCACTGGAAAGAGCAGGGAACCAGAAGTTGAAAGACCTAGGTCTGGTTTCAGCTCTGTCACTAATTAGCTGGGTGACCTTGAGTCAAGGCCTTAACTTCTCTGGGGCTGGGTTTCCTCAGTTCATCAGATGATCGTTTCTGTTGGACCTAACTCAGGGCATTGGAATGAGAATCAGGTTCTTTGCAAGTAAGTAAAAAAAGTGCCTTACAAAAGCAAAGTATTTTTATTAATAATATGCCTCGAAGGAAAAGGTATCCAGGAGTCAGAGAGGAGACAAAACTATGTGAAATGGTGCCCCCTGGTGGGAAGGGACTTTCATGAAGGAGTTGTGATTCCCAAACTAACTGGGCCAAAGAACATGTTTGAGCTTGAAATCTATTGACAAAACAAACAAATAGTGTTTCTGGAGGTCTGAAGGGTAGGAAATAACCCAGGGATTAAGGTGGAGAGGGTCTGGTCAATATTGGTGTAAAACAGGAAGTTGAAGTTTATTTTCATAGGGCAAAAAAGGTAACATTTTATGTATATTTAATTTCCTATTTAATATTTGGGATTGGAAAATACTGCTAGTAAAGGCACTTTCTCACAGAACCCCTATTGACATTACACAGAACACTTTATGGAACTTTATGGAACATAGTTGGAAATACTGAGTTGTAGCAAACCTTGGAGGGTGGTACTCACGGGCTTGTCATCATTTCCACAGGCCGGTCACAAGAGATGCATTTTACCCGCTCAAAGAGTTGCCTGAAAAAAAAATAAAAATTAAAAAAAAAAAAAGAGTTGCCTGAAATAGAGCACACACCCTCAGGTCCAGCAAGTTGTGATCAACTTCCCAAACACGCTAAGAATGGTATGGTTTGGAAGAGGGGTCCCCCTAAGAGATGGCTACATTATAGATCAGGGAGGAACGTACCGACCTAAAGAACCCACAAGGAAGTTCTTATTTGGATCTAAAGATCAAAAGGTACCCTAATGCCCTTGATATTGTCCTCTGGCTACTGTGTGTTAAGGGAGTCAGGCAAGGCACTGAATCTACCTTTCCTTCATCAAAACTTAAAAATCCTTGCCTCACTACACTTGAATATATGGACCAGTCAGCTAGTACTGACAAAGTACTGTAGTCGATGCTAACTTGTGTAAGTGAGTTAAGTATCTTCATTTCTACCTATCTTCTCCAACCCATATGCCAAGCATTGTGCCAAGTGTTGAAGATACAATGAAAGGCAAAAGACAGTTCCTGATCTCAAGGAGCTCACAATCTAACGGGGTGGACAATACACAAATAACTAGGTATAAACAAACTACATGTAGGATAAACTGGAAATAATAAACAGAGGGAAGGCACTAGGACTAAGAGGGATGGAGAAAGACTTCCTGTAGAAGGTGGGATTTGAGTTGGAGCTTAAAGAAAGGCAAGAGGAAGAGATGAAGAGAGAGATCCAGAGATAGGGAACAACAGTGAAAATGCCCAGAGCAGTGAGATGGAGTGTCTTGTTTGAGGAATATCAAGGAATGAGCATATGTGGATTTTAACAAGGACCTTCTGGAGACAAGATACCTTAATCCTAAGGAATGACTAATGGCTGGCTGGAGACAGAGGTAAAATGTGTGGGCAAAGGAACTACGCATATGGCCAAGCATTCTTCCTATCTTGCTACCTTCCCCTCCCCTCCAGCGTCCCCCACCCTTTCCTCTGTAGTATCCTCAACTTCTTCTTTTATTTACTTCTTCCCCCTTCTCAATCTTCAAACCTAATCTGGGGAAGAACTCAAGGTCAGGAGGATCTGGAACCTTCTTTTCCAAAAAGACCTAAAACATAACCACTTCTTGGCAATAGGACAGCTTGGGGAAGGGAAGACTAATAGTTGAAGGGGAGCTAGAGAACTTTGGAAGCTCACTTCTTAAAGCCAGCAGCACTGTCTGCGTCAAAGCGAGGGCCTTCACTCAGGTGCTTTTTTACAAATTTCCAGATATGTTCCATCTGTTTCTTCACAGGATCTAGGTCCATGTGGCCCAGCTGTTGAGAGGATAAAGGCAAGAACAGAGATTTAGCTTTGGATGTTTGAACTTAATGGTAGTTGTTTCATTGATAAATATTTTTTAATTACATCTCCTACCAGGGGTGAGGAACCTGCAGCCTTTAGCCTTTCTGCCTAAAATCCTTTTATTAAGGGGATTTGTTCTGTGAAGTTTGGATTCAGTCAGAGAGCCACACTTGAGGACCTAGAGGGCCACATGTGGCCTCGAGGCCGCAGGTTCCCCACCCCTGTGATCTAGACTATAACCTCTTTGAGGCTAGGAACTCCTTTACACAAATACTTTATCACATACTTCATTCATTTTGTATTCATTTATTTATTCACTCAACAAACATTCATTGTCCAACACCTACTATATATAAGAGGCATTGAAGATTTATAGTTTCTACTGTGTATGTGAAAACGTTTGTTTTATTAGGTGTTTGTTTAGAATAAAAAAAAATTGATAATAGTTGGCATTTATATAGGAATTTAAGGTTTGCAAAGTGTATCCTATATAGTATTTCCATTATTTCACTGGATCCTCATGATAACTTGGTGAGGTAAGCACTACAGGTATTATCTCATAGACATGGTGCCCACTCTGAAGGGGCTTACTGGTAGGGGAGATAAGACGTCCTCTCAACCTTGATGCAAAAAGTAACAGGATACTAGAGGTACAAAGTGCTATAAGAATGCTGAGGATCACAAGATTTAGAACTGGAAGGTACTTTAGAGGTCATTAAGTCCATCCATCCATGCAGATAAAGAAACTAAAACCCAGAGAGGTTAAATGATTGGCTCAGGATCTTCACAGTCAGGAAGTACCTGAGATCACATGTGAACCCATCATCCTGACTCGAGGTCTAGCACTTTACCTGTAATACCATGCTGCCTGAGGCATCAGGGAAGGAATCATAAAGGATAAGTACAAGCTTTGGTTGATTAATAAGGAGGGTTTTTAAATGGTGACAGGGCATGGGAGGGTATTCCAGGCACAGGGAATGCGACCAGCAAAGGCAAAAAGTCAGGAAAGAGGGAGGCATTCAGTAATCTAGTTGGGCTGAACAGGCAGTAGAGTAAGATAAAGGTGCAAGGCTAGACTGGTGTCAGATTGTGGGGGGCCTTTTATGTCCATCCAAGGAGTGTTTCCCCCTTGGCTAGTCCAGTGCTCAGGACATAGTAGTGCTCATTAAAACATCTGAATTATTTTGAATTCTGTTCCTGTTTAAGATGCTTGGACCTGGATATATTTCTTATCTGCAGCCTACTGCAGTTAGAGCTAAAAAGCCCCCCACTAAATTCTCTACCCCCCTTCCCCCACCCCTTTTATTTGAGTAACTAAGTAACAGCAGCCTTGTGTCCTTGCCAGACATAACAGATGGGGCTTGCCTCAGACATACTACATCCAAGCAGGTACAGAAGGTGGAAAAGCAAGGACATTGCTAAACAAATGCTTGGAAAGTTAAGAAAAATACTTCCCCTCTCCTCCCCCATGCCAGCCCAGCACAGTACACACTCTTATTAGTTGTCCTGTTGAATGACCTGGGCAATAAAAGTGAACTGGAGGGGGACTGAGCAGGTTCTGCCTGGTGCCAGTGCCAAGGAGGGAGCCTCAGGGGTCCCTGAAAAACTCCTCTGCCAAGCTTTCCTCTTACACAGCTATTCAAGGATTCCTTCTCCTGTCCTGACTGTGACAAATATCTATTTGTGCACAGGGCCTGGATTCATGATTCAATTAATCAACAAGCATTTATTAAGTATCTACTGTGTTCCAGGAACTTCAATAAACACTGGGGACACAAAGACAAAAACGAGTCTTTCTTAGATTGTATTTTGCCCTTTTGAGGATAAAATACACTCACATACACAGAGTACAGTGGATAGAGTGCTAAGCCTAGAGTCAGAAGTCCTGAATTCAAATCCAGCCTCAAACGCTTATTAGTTGTTCTGTTGTTGTTGTTTAGTTGTTTCAGTCACGTCCAACTCTTCGTGATCCCATTTGGGGTTTTCTTAGCAAAGAGATTGGAGTGATTTGCCATTTCCTTCTCCACCTTATTTTACAGATGAGGAAACTAAGGCAAACAGAGTTAAGGGACTTGCCCAGGGTCACACAGCTTGTAAGTGTCTCAGGTCAGATTTGAACTCAGGAAAATGAGTTTTCCTGACTCCAAGGCCTGGCACTCTATCTACTTCTCCACTTAACTGCCCTTTATTAGTTGTGTGGCTCTAGGCAAGTCACTAAGTCTTTTTGCTTCAGTTTTCTCATCTGTAAAATGAGGATAATAATGAGCACCTATCTCCCAAGGTTGTTGTAAGTATCAAATGAGTTCATAATTGTAAAAGGCTTAGCACAGTGCTTGGCACATAGTAAACATTATATAAATGTTGCTACACACATATGTTTATAATTCTTGCTTTTATTTCATTTTACATTGCAGCCTGATTGGCATTTATTTTTCCTCTTCTCCCCATAAGGGGAGAGAGGCTATAAACCAATTCATGCTAAGATATTAGGGACTGACTCCAATACTCTTCCTAGGAATTAGATAATTCTAATCTCTATTTAAAGAAAGATGGAGGATAAAGAGCAAAGCTTAACTCAAAAGGATCATTGGTAGTCATATGTCATGCACCTGGGCAAGGCATTAATTTGGCATGTGACCCAGAGGAAATCATTTGAATTCAACAAACATTTATCAAATGCCCTTTATCTGCCAGGGCCTCTGCTAGGCTCTAAGGATACAATGACAAATCATTCCTGGCCTTCAAAGAGCTTACACTCCCAAAGGAGTAGCAAAGGAAAGTCCATACAAAGTCATTTGAAGAAGGAAAAAGTACGTGCTATGGGAGTTGTGAAGGAAAGAACATTCTCAAAATGAAAAGTTGAATCAGGGAGGTCTTCACAGAAGAGATGGCAATGTAGCTGAGCCTTGAAAGGAGTCTGAGGGGTGATGGACACTGCAGATATGGTGGGCAGTCTGCCACTATGGGAGCTAAAGGGAAGGTGAAGTTTAGAGAACTGCTCTGTGGTCTCACTTGGTTGGAACTTAAGAGTGGATAAAGGGGACTAAGTTACATGAAATTAGTATAGAAAGATAAGGAGGAGTCAGACTGGGAGGGCCTTTAGACACCAGGCTGAGAAGTTTGTGTTTTCTCCCCAGGATGATAGGGAGTCATTGGATATTTTTGAGAAGGGGAGGAGAAAAACTTCTCCAGCATTCTTCCAGTCATCTTCATTTGCTGACATCTTCTGCTCCACATCCACAATATATCATTTGGCTGAACTACTGCAAGCTTCATTTCTGTGGGCCTTATTTTCCTCATCTGTTAGGTGGATCACTTGTAAGGCCTTCTCCAGCTATAAAATCCTATGAGGTATTGGGGTGGGGTGGGGGTGGGTCATAACTCACAGAACTTTAGAATCAGAAGGGACCTGCAACTGGTCTAATTCTCTCAGTTTAGATGAAGAAAATGAAGCAGAGAAGATGACATTACTTATGAGAGTGGCAAAGCTGGTACTTGAATCCAGTTCTAATGCTCCTAGTCAATCAATGAGCATTTATTAAGCTCCTACTATGTGCCAGGCACTGTGCTAAGTGCTGGGTATACAAAGAAACAATCCCTGTTCTCCAGGAGCTCACACTCTAATGGGAGAGACAATATGCAAACCTATGGAAAATAAGATATATACAGGATAAATCAGAGATAATTTCAAGTGGAAGGCACTAGCATTTTTTTTTTTTTTGGCTAGGCAATGGGGTTAAGTGACTTGCCCAGGGTCACACAGCTAGTAAGTGTTATGTGTGTGAGGTCATATTTGAACTCAGGTCCTCTTGAATCTGGGGCCGGTCCTCTATCCACTGCGCCACCTAGCTGCCCCTGGAAGGCACTAGTACTAAGAGGGATCCGTGTTCTTTCCACTGTGCCTACTGTTAGGACTGAGCCTATGATTTGGGTTCTCCTCACTTTTATGGCTATCATAACTCTCACCCTAACCACAGTGGTAAATATTTAAGAACCAGCTTGGGAGGTGGGGGAGGATGTTTTACATGACATACTTTTAAGTTTAATCTGCATTATTAACATTTTTTCTGTCATTTTCTTAAGTCTAGTCAATCAACAAAATAAATCAAGTCCTGATTTGCCAATTTTCGAGGTACAAAAATGCCCACACACAAAAATTGAACAATTAGCTCTCTCTAGCCTGTTTGGGTTGGCTCCAACACACCCTTAAGCCCTGATCCAATTTCTCCTATTGCCTCTGATGTTGCTATTAGCCTCCTGTAATTCCTGATATAAGTGCCTGATGAGGGGAGAGAATCCAGTTTTCCTGGCACATAGTTGGTTAGCTGACTGGGAAAGGTACAATATCAGCTTCTTCTGGGGGGCTTAGACTAGGGTCCTAGATGGTGTATACAGGGTTTTTTGGCTACCCCTACCCCCACCCCCCAAGGAAAAGTCCCTAACCTTGGAGTCCACATCAAGGAAAAGCTTCTCCAGCACCTTCTGCCAGTCCTGTTCATGGACAGATATCTTCTGCAGCATGTCATGCATCATGTCATGTAACTGAACTGTGGCAAACTCCAAGTCAGCCCGGCTTGCTTTGAAGGCCAGAGCACTCTTATCTGCTTTCTGGTGAGAGAGAAATGTCAGTGAGGTTGTGCAGTAGTGGGAGAGAGGAGAGATGGGAGAGAGCAAAAGAAAGTTGTCTGCTTTGGCCCATTTACTAAGGCTGAAGGGATTGAACCATGTTTTCCAACTTGTTGCAGTTTGTGGGGCACCTACAAACGCTCTAAAATACACTGAATTGCTTTTCTCACCCCATACCAGTCCAGCCATCTGTCTTTCTATACCCACCCCTTCCCTCTCAGGCTCAACATAGCACACACTGATACACTCATAGACACAAATAAACATATCCACACTTTTCTCTCCAACATAATTCCTACCAAGTCCACCCTCCTAGTTACAAATTAGCAAAGGGGAGTGAAGAAACCTCAAAGTTAGGACATGCTACTTTTGAAGCCACCATAGTGTTACTCAAAAAACAAAGGAAAAAAAAAACCCAAACCAGATTGCCTGTGCAAATTCAGAGAGCCATTAGGGGTCATGCAAATAGACCTAGGCTATTTCGCTTAAAGCCAGTAGAGTAATGATCTATTTGATGAAAATCAAATCCCCTAAAATCAATTTGCCAAAAATCAGTTGCATAATAATAAATTTACCTAGTGTTTCTAACATAAACATCATTATCAAATTTAATAGGATGTTAAGTCTTGTCAAGCCACATATGGATATATGTGATAAGATGGTGCTTGGCCTCCTAAGCATTTTTGCTTCATTATTTGTGTTTTTGAAACACCTTACCTGCTTTTGAATACTTTAAGGATTCTTGCACTTAAAAAGGTACTCCGGACATTATCAGCATGCAGAAAACTTGCACTAAAGCCACACCTAGGCCCTACCTGAATGAGATTGCCCTGAAAGTAGTTTCTCTCACCGAGAATTTCATGCCTGCCTACCTGACCTTGACTGTATTTGTTGACTGTGATCCTGTTCAGCCAGTTTTGACTGCTCCATTATGGCCTAATGCCAGCCTGATTATGCTCTGACTTTGTTTATGTCCTAGTTTTATCAGTTTATACCTGAACCGAACCTTAAAGACTGAGTAGAATTTCCTGCTTTGATATTTTTAATGTTTTAAATCTTTTTTTAGCTAAAAAATCCATTAAATGGTCAAAAGTCAGATGGAATTTAAAAGACATCAATGACCAAGCAGAACTTTTTTGTTGACCCTTTACCTCAAAACCAGGTACTTAATAAATTAAAGGCCACTAAAAATGTAAAATACATAAACAATAATGCAAAAAAAAAATACTCCAGGGTTCAGTGAATTATCAGGCAAAATGGTTTTAAGCAATCACTTTTAGATAAATTGATTATAGGACCCTTCCAGCTTCTTTCTCACAATTGCAGACCCACAAGGCAAATCAAAGTGATGGGAGAGCCTGCTGCCCTCCGGTTAGGAAAGACTGGACCGGACTGCAGTGAAGTTAGACCTCTAGGCTTACTTCTGTCTCCCAGCTCTGCAGGATCTAGGGGTAGGGGATGGGACATTGAGATCCCTAACCTGAAGGGGGGTTGGGGGGGACAAAAAGAATTCAAATACAGTACTGTCTTTCCTCATTAGAGTAAACCCACTCTAAACCAGGGTTTCTTAGACTTTTTCCACTTGAGACCCCTTCAATACTTCTTAAACTGTAGGTCTTGGGTTCACTGGAACTACTTCCAACATCAACTTGCTAGAAAGGCAGATTAGTCTCAGAACAGTAACTGTGTTAAAACAGGCCTTCCATGAAGGAATGTACAGAATTAGTTTGCATTAGCTATGAATTATGTTTAAACCTACTCAAGGAAAAACAAAAACAAAAAACAAAACAACAAAAATAATTTTCTTCCAACCTTTCTATATTTGAGGAAAAAAAAAAAAAGAAGACAACCTACCCTCTCTCTCCCATCTCCTGGATTTTATCATCATCCTATTTAAGACTCATATAGTGTGGCTGCCTCTCTTTCTAGGTACAGTCCTCAGGGTGTGGAGGTAGGGTAGGGTGGGCTTGTTGGGGAGAGTATCATCACCTGCTCACCTCTTTCATTTGTTCTTCCATCCGAGTTTTATCCACCTTTCTCATTTCTAGTTGTTTCACCACTATTTTGAGGCCCTAATTTCAAAGGAAAGAGCAGCGTATTATTCTTTTTGAGAAACTTTAGAGAGTCTGCTTATTAAAGATTTGGACTCAGAGGGCTCATGGTCCCCAGGTCCCAAAAGCAAACCTAAAAGGGGAACAAATATGGAAGAAGGGCTACTTCCTGTCATGATCTTGTACAGAAAAAACTCTCATAGAAACTCTAATCTCAGAGTGGTTAGCAAGCCCTGGCTACTGTCAAGGGAGTGAGGGTCCCTGGAGGTCATTTATTCATTCATTCTGTAACATGGGAGATCCCATGGAGTAGGCAATCTGGCTCCTTGCTAAAGGACAAGGGGACAAAACGGCTCCTGTTTGGCTTTGCTGGCCCTGTAAATGGGGAGGGGAGTAGGAGTGGGAAGGACTGTGTCAAAGATGCTTGGTGACTAAGCCAGGAAGAGTTTCCCACTCAGTAGGCCATACAAGAATCAAGGAGAAATGCTCCTCCCTCTTCTGAACATGCCTTTGGAGACTCTGCGAGCTCTCCATGTGGCTTCCAGCGAGGTTGGTGTTTCCTTCCCTCGCCCTAGCATGGCAGCAACATGAGCCTCAGAAACATGTACATGCCTAGGTGAGCCCTTATGACTGGACCCCCAAACCTCTAGCTGCCTCTTCTCTTTTACATTTCCTTCTCTGAGCCCAGGTCACTAAACAGCAATCCTGAGAAATGGACATTTTCGGCCAAGGAGGCAAGAGAGGTCAGAAGTTCTTGAGTCATTGTTGGCTGCCCAATGGGAAGTGTTTCCTGCAACTGTCTCGCTTCTTGGAGAAGTCCGACAAACTTGTCTTTACCTCCCAGGAGAGTTTAAAATAGCTCTGCATCACCCGTGACACTTAGTGGCCAATATTCTGACACAAGTTCCTGTCATAGGCACAAATCAGAAATTGCTGTATTATTTCAGAATTAAACATGTTTTGTTGATGCTGTCTTTTGTTTTCATATAAATCATTTCTTGAAATATTCCCCTTCCTCTATCCATTTAAAAACTGAATCCTTCATTATAACAAAGAAGAATAGTTAAGCAAAAACACCTGATAGTTATATCAGGATGAAAATTAGGTGGCACAGTGGATAGAGGACAGTCCTGGTGCTAGAAAGACACTTAACAGATGTGTGACAATGGGCAGGTGACTTAACCTTTCCAAGCTGTAATTATAAAAAGACCTCATGGCTCCCAGGGACCCTTCCAGCTATAAATCTGATTTTTTTTTTCTTTTTGGTGAGGCAATCGGGGTTAAGTGACTTGCAGGGTCACAACAGCTAGTGAGTGTCAAGTGTCTGAGGCTGAATTTGAACTCAGGTCCTCCTGACTCAAAGGCCAGCACTCTATCCACTGTGCCACCCAGCTACCCTAATCCATGATTTTATGATTTGGAAGAGGCAAAATCAATGTAACAAAGTTGAATAATTAGTTGATTAGCTATAGAAATAAGGTAAGTTCATCTCTGCAAAACCATTGTTCAGAATGGAAGAGACCCTGAGGGGCTGCCACCATCAGGAGCGGCTCTGAAGGATACGGACTATCTTTGGGTCATCCTCTGTCCAACGACCCTAAGTTTTCTGTTGCAGGCCCAGGGTTCTATTTGGATCCCCAAAATTTAGACTTTCTAGAGGCTTTGGGCTTGAGGATGACCTCAGGGCTAATTTGTTGACCCTTAGGAATCGCTGCTTAAGAAGACTGAACTTCCTAGAGACAATTTGGACCAGCTTAGTCAGGGCCATATAGTTTAGCTATATTGAGAGAGAAAGGAGAATCAAAGAAGGGATAGGACTTTTCCTTGAGATGGATGGGATGATGATAACTAACAAAAGGCAGAGTGTTCCACTCTTGTTTCTGTTTCCTCTGCTAAGGAGAATAAATTTTACTCTGGAAATATCAGATGACTACTTTAGAGTTGATAACTAAGTTAACTATTGTTGTTCATCCTTCATTCTCAAAGAGAACCAATGACATCAGGAAGATGATGTCTTGAACTGCAAGTGAATTGCATTTAAGCGAGGTAGGGCTGAGAAGTCATCAGCCTCACTCTCTTCTCCGGAGTCATCATAGTCCAGTGGCAAGACATAGGTCAGGATCACTGGTGATGGCCCAGGATGCAGGGGATGGCCCTGGTCTTTTTAAACTAGGGTCTTTCCCCTCAAGATAACTAAAGAGATACTAAGGGAGCACGTGGCTGCCTTTGATGAAGATGTCACCAGTCCCCGATTAACTACATATTTGAGGCCTGAAAGGACTGGCAGATGTGATTGCTGAACCACTATTAGTGATATTTAAAAGATAATGGAAAGCAGGAAAGATGCCACAAGACTGAAGAAGTACAAATGTTATACTGATGTCCAAAAAAGGGAAGAGAACAGAGGCTACAAGCTATAGATTGTCTAGGTAGATTGCAATTCCTAGGAATATTCTACAGCATATCATTAAGTGCGTGGCAAATATCTAGGAAGGGCAGTGGTGATCACAGGAAGCCAGCATGAACAGGTCATAAAAGACTAACTTAATTTTTTTTGGACAGGATTACTAAACTTTTAGATAAGGGGAATATTTTGGGTATAGTTTATCTAGAATTGTAGCAAAGCATTTGATGAAGTGTTATATTTTTCAGTAAAAAAGATGGAAAGCTATGTTTAAATGATACTATAATTAAAATAGATTCATAATTGGTTGGATGACTAGATTCAGAGTACTTGTTAATGGTTCAACATCAGTATGACAAGAAGGCTCCCCTGGACTACCCCAGGGATCTATCCTTGGTCTTTTGCTATGAACATTTTTATCAGTGACTTGGGCAGCTAGGTGGTGCAGTGGCTAGAGTGTTAGGGCGGAAGCCAGGACGATTCATCTTCTTGAGTCCAAATCTGGCCTCAGATACTTACTAGTTGTGTGACCCTGGGCAAGTCATTTAACCCTGTTTGCCTGAGTTTCCTCTTCTGTAAGATGAGCTAGAGAAGAAAACTGCAAACCACTCCAGTATCTTTGCCAGGAAAACCCCAAATGGGGTCACAAAGTGTTGGATGTGACTGAAAAAATGGTTGAACAACATCTGAATCAATGACTTAGATAAAGGCATGACTGGCAAGTTCATTAAATTCACAGATGCTACAAAGCTAATATGGATGCTACTGATGCTGATTACAGTATCTGTGTGTGGTTGAAAAGGCTAACACCTGGGGCACACCAGACGTAGCTAGGTAGTACAGTGGATAGAACATGGCCCTGGAGTCAGGAAGACCTCAGTTCAAATCTGGCCTCAGACATTTACTACCTTGGGTGACCCTGGGCAAGTCATTTAACCTTTAACTGCCTTTGTGAGGTGCCTGGCATATACATATTAGACACTTAATAAATGCTTGTTTCCTTCCCCATCCCCCTTGTTTCACAAGGACGGCCCAAGCTGTGTACCTATCAAAGAAGTGGCTTATTTTTTAAAAAAGTCTGGCATGACTTGTGGCTTCAATGCTTTGGGCTCACAGTGATACAAGAAAATCATGAAAAAACAGTCAACAGCTTGGTAAAGGAATCAGAAAAAAAATTACTGAAGAAAATAACACCTTAAAAAAACAAAATAGTCCAAATTGTTAAAAAAAAAAAGGCACAAAAATCCAATGAAGAGAAAAATATCTTAAAAAGCAAAATTGGCTAAATGGAAAAACAGGTACAAACATTCACCAAAGAAAAGAAATCCTTAAACAGCAGAATTGGCCAAAGAGAAAGGGAGATACAAAAACTCACTGAAGAAAATAATTCCATAAAGATTAGAATTGGGCAAGTGGAAGCTTATAACTCCAGGAGACATCAAGAAATGATAAAATAAAATCAAAAGACTGAAAAAATAGAAGAAAATGGGAATATCTCATTGGAAAAATAACTGACCTGGAAAACAGATCTAGGAGAGATCATTTAAGAATTAGTGGACTACCTGAAAGCCATGATCAAAAAAAGAGCTTAGACATCATCTTTCCAGAAATTATCAAGGAAAACTACCCTGATATCATAGAATCAAAGGGTAAAATAGAAATGGAAAGAATCCATTGATCACCTTCTGAAAGAGATCCCAAAATGAAAACTCCCAACAATATTATAGCCAAATTCCAGAGCTCCCAGGTCAAGGAGAAAATATGCAAGCAGTCAGAAAGAAACAATTAAAATATCATGGAGTCATAGTCAAGATAACACAAGATTTAGCAGCTTCTATATTAAAGGATTACAGGGCTTAGAATATTATATTCCAGCAGGCAAAGGAGTTAGGATTATAACCGAGAATCACCTACCCAGCAAAACTGAGTGTAATCCTTCAGGAGAAAAAATGGATATTCAATGAAGTAAAAGACTTTCAAGCATTCCTGATGAAAAGATGAGAGCTGAATAGAAAATCTGACGTTCAAATACAAGATTCAAGAGGCATATAAAAAGGTAAACAGGAATGAGAAATCATAAAGGACTCAATAAAGTTAAACTGTTTACATTCCTATGTGGGAAAATCATACTTGTAACTACTGAAAACGTTCTCATTAAGGTAGTTAGAAGGAGTTTACATAGACAGAGAGCGTGGGCATGAGTTGAATGTGATGGGATGATTATCTAAAAAAATAAAATTAAGGAGGTGAGAAAGAGGAATGCACTGGGAGAAGCAGAAAGGGAGAGGTAGAATTATCTGACATTAAAGAGGAATGAAAGAGTTTTTACATTGGAGGAGAAGATGGGGGAGTTGGAGGGGAGTACATAAACCTTATTCTCATCAGAACTGACTCAAAAAAGAAATAACATGCACGCTCACATAGGTATAAAAATCTGTCTTACCCCACAGGAAAGTAGGAGGGGAAGGGGATAAAAGAAGGGAGAGTAAATTGGTATGGTAGTCAGAAGCAAAACACTTTTGAGGATGGACAGGGGGAAAGGAGAGAGTAGGATAAAGAGAAAAATAGGATGGAAGAAAATACACAATAAACATAATTACGAAAAATATTTTTACAG